AACTCTCTGATTTATTAACTGCAAGGAACTTAATGTTTTCCAAGGGATACAGGATACATACAAAAATGAGTTAAGTCTGCAGGCAGGATGGCAAAGAAGGAAGAGATGGAGTGAAGTCCCAATACAAGGCATCGTCAAAGAAGAACAAAATATCAGAAGAGCATAAGCGTAAGAAGAAAGAAAGGGAAAAAAAGAGGACATATTTTATCACGGTAAAATGTAGGCTGCTGAAACCCTCCTGTGCTTCTTCACTCTGTAATGCTATAGGCAGCTGTCGGATCCCACCACCTGAGTGTGACCATTTGTATTCTGCTCCGATTTACTGCTTTCTTACCAAGGATGAGTGTCCCGATTATTGATCATCTTTTGGTCCTTGTTCATCAGGAAACATGGCACACGCATCCTGCATGAGTCACGCGCTCGCGCACACCCGGCACCAGCACTCTTACTCTCCTCACTCACTGTACATCCTTGGCTATGTCAGATGCTGCCTCTTCTCTAAGCTGTGCCAGCCCCAGCGTCCGCAGGCCAGTGTCCCTGCAGTCTCACAGCTTGGAACTTCAGTGTCTCATGGAGCTAGAATGTGGATTCTAACTCACTCCTATGCACTTTACTGGATTTCTCTGGTCACATCTGTGGGCTCCCTATTCCGCTAATGACTCCCTTAACTCACAGTCATCCAACCAAAACACACATGCACACAATCACAAAATAACCTCTTGTATTTTGAATGCCGGTTGTTCTCCAAATTTTCATGCTTTTCCTTTCCTGTCCCTAAGTATCAAGCTCTTGCCCCCCGCCCCAACTATTCCTGACAACAGCCTTCCCTAACGGACTTTTCATCTTGAGCACCTTCCTAATAGCATTCTTCACGAACATGCTGAATGTCTCCATATTTACCGAAATGACAGTACAGATGCTGTAAGTTGGCTTTCAAAGACCCTCACTATCTGACTCAACTCTTACGTGCTGATGCCTATCCATCCTGTCTTGGAAGATGGCCACCCCAGTTCTGGATGCAGAAACTCTGTTCAGCTCTGCTCTGCAGGAACTCATTTCCTGACACTTCATTGATCCTTTCCCACCCTTTTAACTTCCATGCGCGATCTACATCACATTGTTTCACACAGCTTTACTTTAATATTCATTTCTGTTATTTCACATTAGTTTGCAATAGGGTCACAATTTTTGTTTTGTCATATTTTGCTAAAATGTCAAAGGTGCAGCACCATGTTAAATATAGCATGGGAATTTTATGATATTGAGATAAGAGTTTTAATAATGAATAGCGAGAATAGATTTTTAAAAGTTATGTGGAAGGTACCAGAGAAAATGGAGCTGTATCGCATGCAAACTTACCAGAGAAGACACTAGGAATCTTGGAAAGAAAGCTTTTGACAGTACGAATAGGAATTCCATTTTTTTCATCTTGCATGCGTGCTATGACGTCTTCCATCTAAATAATAAAATAGAATGGTTGTTTTTTAGCTTAGACTTTTTGAGAAAAGTCAGTTCTCATAACAGTTTTGTTTTTCAGTTTTATCCAATTAAGAATATTACCATCACAGTTTCACTTGCTAGATTTAGACACATTAATATTTTCAGTTTGTCTAAAAGCTGGAAATGTAACTGGAAAAGTAGACATTTTACGGTCCATTCAACTATTAATAGAATTGTGTGCTTTGAATATTGCCTCTCTTCTGGCTTCACATTCATTGGTTATAAAGACTGACATAAATCAGACTCTATATTTGAAGCTGTCAGAAAATTCACTGCCATAGCAAAATTCACATTATAGTAATGTTACCTCTACAGGACTCAAATAAAATGCCTCGAAAGCATGTACTTTGATTTCCTCTTTGTAGGAAAGAGTTGATATGATTTGTTTTAATGGTGATTTCTAAACCTTGGTGAAAATACAGGGCTTACTGCCGTTAGTCACGGCTTCTGTCACTAAGGCTTAGAGTATAAAACATCCACCCCCGCCACACACAAGGATGTATACATTTGATAGAATGGATGCAACACAACAGCTTCCCATCTCATGGATTTCACTACATTTGTCTGTCTTTAAATAATGCCATTTCGTTAGCTTTTGTCTTGAGACTGTTTTTCAAAGTTTTAAAGGGATGTACAAAGTACTACACAGACTCCTTCACAGAGTGGACTTTAGTCCTAATAAGATTCATTCAAATCAGAATCTCAGCCTTCCCTTGTGTGCTTTTAAACCTGTGGCACATAAGAACACATGGATGTACTCAAGCTTAGCACAGATACCCAAATCCATTCATTCATTCATTCCACAAATAGATCCTGTTGCTGACTACTGACCAGACATAGAAGAGTGCCACAGATATGAAGATGAATATACAAAGTCCCTTCCCTCATGAAATTCACACCCACTATTGAAAACAATCACACAAGGCAAGGTTTGCAGTTTAACAAGTAGTGCTGTACTAGTGTATTTTCCTGGTTTTGATAATTATGCTACCTTTATACAGGATGTTAAATTGAAGGAAACTGAGCCAAGAATGTATTAAGAATTTTTTTCTATACTGTTTTTGTATTTTTTCTGTAAATCTAAAATTATTTCAAAACAAACTTTTTAAGAATCACATTCTAAACTTTTTAGCAATGATCAAATTTCCATCAACACTACAGTGTGATTATTCACCTGGGAGAACACTGATCTAGATAAATATCAGATTTATTAATGGAAGGAATAACTAGGAGTGTGGGAAGGATGATTCAGAGTGAGACTGGCTGGTATTTGACACTTAGTTTTATTCATTATCGATTATGTTACTTCGAATTCAGTAGCCTCTCTAAGGCTTAGTGTATGCAGCTATAAAATGGTGCTAATAATTTGGACAACTCTATCACAACGTGCATAGGATTGAGTTGGGGTTAGAGTGAAGTATTTTAGGGTTAAAGGGTATGACAAACCTAAAGCATAGTAAATAAATATGCAAATATTGAACTTTGAATATCCACAATCCTTGACACTTGGGAAAGCTTATTCTCCATATGCAACATTTTTTCTATGTGAGGGAAGCACCAAACTCTCCAGCCTCTTTGCCATTTAACTTCCTCTATGCCAGGTGAGTTGGTCTAGTTAGTGGTTTAGAAGATTTTATCATGAGAACGTGCCAGCAAGGCCTGTTTCTTTTTCCTGGGGAAGCTCACATCCAAATCTGAAGATTTGGAGATCCCTGCCCTGCTGGGTGTATAAATCTGTACAAACCTGGGTTCCAGAATCAATGCTTTTGTGTGCACTTCTCAGTAATAAGTCAGCCATTGAGGACATACTGTGACCCATATCTTTGGTTGGGATTTTCAATTGGTACAGAGCACAGGAAGGGAAGTTATTTTACTAGGCCCACCAAATAACCCAACAATAACTAACTCTTTTCATGTAATAAAAATATCACAGCTAATAAGAGAGATATTATATGACTTGCATTTCTTTCTTTTTAGCAATAATTCACTGAAGACACATCCAGAAAGGAAGACTAAGCTGCTTTGTCTCACCAAGTATCATCCTATAAATCTTTATATCATCAATGTAATGGCTTTAACGCAGTACAGATTAGACAGTCACTAAAATCTCTGATTTCCATGTGAATCATCCCAGCACTGTGATGATAATCACTCTGGCTGGAGGGTGGATTAAGAAGCATCTCTATCAGTAGAGCTATTTTCTCTGCAAGGTCAATTCACCTCTCATTTCATTGGATAGTAAAGGAGCAAGATTAGGAACCTGGGAATCAAAAATAAATGCTGTGGTTCTAATTTTAAATATTCATTGTTTTTATGCATCATAATTTCCATAATGGATATAAAAAGGTAAACTCCATGAAAAATAGGATTTGCTTTCTAGACAGAAAATATTATCATGGAAATGTATTCAATTGCTTTTATCTTTCTGCAGATTACAGTTTATCTATTATGATGGCCTGGGGTGAGCAAACAGATAAAAAAGGTCAAAATTAAATCCCCAAACAAAAGCAAAGGAAATCTGGCTTATTAAGGCAAACAGCAGTCAGGAAGGTCACATATAAAGACCCTTCCATTTTATTTACTCATTCTTTCAGACATTCATTCAGAGTCTATTTTTTAAATTCTTGATTAGGTGCTTTTTCACTATTACCAAAAACAAATTGGATGAGAGCGAATGCTAAAGGCAAAAAAATCTAGAGCAAGATTACATCAAGAGTGGTGCAAAATTAAGAAGCAACTCAAGTATTAAAAATCTACAGTTCCTCGGAGGAATGTAAGCACCCCGAGAGAAGATCTGTTCATAAGGCTGCCACTTGAGCTGCAACATGTTAGTTACCATGTGAGTTGTTTAGTTATCATAAACACTAACTGTACCGGAAAAGAACACTGGCCTTCTGTCAGGAGAGCTGCACATACTGGGGGTCACTGAGACTCTGAGTCTTTCTTCACCCTTAAAATAAAAATTGGGTGATCTGACGACTTCTTCTGGCTGAGAGATACTGACGATTGAATAGAATTATAAATGTTTAGAACTGGTTAAGATTCCTAACGTAAGACAATGTGTGAATTTCCTATCAAAGACAAGTTGATGAGCCCATTAATTGAACAGGACTGGTAAAAAAAAATTTATGTGCTTCCAACTGTCAGCTTATTTTAATTTCAATGCATATAGTAGAGTGATTAATAGCATGCATTTAGTTCACTCACATCTGGACGATGGTGAGGAGACAAAAGGGACTTTGAATAGAAGATGTGTTCAGATGAAAATTTTTGCATTACAAAACTACAGAAAAATAATATTTTAAGGAAAGAGGGAAGTTATAAAACAACTGCATCATTATTTTACAAGATAAAAACAATTTTGTGTGCATTTTCTTTGTGAATCTGTTACAGATTCACATACAGGAAGAGGGGCACCCCTGAACCCCCAAACCTGCCTGCTCTAAAGGGCTCTGCCATCTGCCGCATCGAGACAAAACCTGCAAGACTTTAATGAAAAGCAACTTTAATACAGTGAGTCTGCAACACGGAAGGCAAAGAATATAACCGCTACATCAAACCCTGACGTGACCCGTCCCCTCGGGGGCAAAAGCCCACCCAAACGGGACTGGCCCAGAGCGAGACTGAAAGCCGCCACAAGCCTAAAGCGCCTTCTGGCCGGACCGTAGAACAGGGTCAGGAATGGCCAGGCACGTCTGGGAGGAAAAGAGCAACATCAATCAAACACTGCCACAGTCACCTCCCGCGGGTCTCTCACCCACATCTCTTTCAACCAGTCCAGGGCCAAGAAATAAACATGGTTTCTTCATGTCTCCCTCTGCTCCCTCTCCTCCTCAGGTCTCCTCTGGCTCTCTCCATCCTTCCCTCCTCAGATTCCTTCTCTTCTTTTCTCTGCTCAGCTCCACCCTCCTTCTGGGTGGGGCAGGGAAAATGGAAATTCCCCTTTTCCTAGGGACCCCCCTGTTACAAATTAACCTTCTGGAGCTCTTCAGAGAATCAAGAAATTGAATTTGTGTTGACTACTTTTACAACAGTGATCTTTTCCTATGGAAAATAATTTTCTATGTGTGATAAAGTAATTTATCTCTAGTAAAGTAGTTTTAAGAATATCTGTCTCAAAACATTTTTGAAATTCTATAACTATTACAATTCTATTACTACTGCACTTTTTAGTTAGTTATTACTTTATACTTATCTTTTCCCCCTTAGATGTGAACCTTTTGAGGAGAGAAATCTCACTTTACTCATTTTTGTATCACTAATTATACAAAGTGCTTGGTCTATAAGGAATACTCACCAAAAAAAAAAAAAAAAGGCAAAGTGGCATTGCATTTTTGTTTAAGGTGCGTTTTATTTTTCTGAGAGACTGAAAGCAAAAATTTAAGTTAAATTGATTTAAGTTTTCTTCTTGAGATATTTGAATGCTTGTTTTCCTTTTATCTAACATTCCGTGAAAAGAGGCTGACAGAGAAACAGTGAAACACAACGGACCGTAAAGTGAAACCCTAATTTTGGGATTCTATTTAATGTAAGGTTTCTTCAGCTTATTTTTCAGGGGAACTTCTTCCTTCAGTAAATGAGGCGAGTCAGTGACTGTTTATGAAACCCGTGAGGCCTATGGCTGTCTCCTGCCTTGGCTGTGACTCCCCTGTAGAGCTCTCCAGGAGACAGAAGACACTGTTGAATTCCAACACACAGCTCTTTTCCTATAGTTCATAATTAGCATTTCTTTTGCACTAATTTAGATGTCACTTCAATACGTGCGATGTGTTGCAAATACTGTTCAGGTTAAACATTCTGCCCACACACTTGCCAGAATGAAAGAGAAAGCATATTAAGCAGGTACATCTTTGAAAAGAGCTCCTAATTATTCAACTAGCGTCCACTAGACGGAAGATTCACAAAATTACTGCCTTGAGGCCCTGCTAAAGTTAGAAACAATGATGGAAATTTAAT